ACCGAAGAGGACAAAAGAACCAAAAGACCTGGATACAGATAAAGAATATTGGTTATGCAAGAACAGGAAGAACCTACATCCTCAGAAGACCAGGAGCAAGGGGTTGTCAAAAGAAAGGAGGGAAGGATATATACAGAGATCATTAAGGATTGGATTTGTCATGGAATCAAATGGTTCAGTTTTTAACTGCAGGTAGAATTTAGAATGATCTACAGTAATGACCTGTAGACAATGATTTAATTGACTAGAGGATTTATTCAAGTCAGTTAAAGAGCAAAATATCATTCCCCAAGTTGCATCTAGAGAAATAGTTTTTCAACGACGGGTGAGTTAGTATGTGAAAGTCAAAATATCCAGTAAATATCTTTGTATATATACAATAAAGACATGTCATGCTAACCTGACTGCGGGTTAAAAAAAAAAAATTATATAATCAATAGATGTTAGAAGAAATCCATGAGTTAACTCCTTTCAGATGTATCAAAAAACCTTCATATGCTGAATGGATTAAAATTGCATAGGAGTCTCTTGATACAAGCTTAATAAAAAATTCATTTAAATGTTGCAATATATAATAACTTAGATTAATTTTTTTTACTCGTTCATTAATTTTTTTTACTTATTCATTTATATAATAAATATATTTTTTAACAAATTCTTATTCAAGACAAAATAAATTAAAATAAATAAAAAATATTAATATTTTTTTGTTTTTAGAATTATATTAATTTATTTGTATTCTTGTTTTATACTAACTTAAAGCTTATTTCTATACAATTTAAGCTATTTTACAATTTAAACTATCTTACATAAACTAATAATTCCTTATAATATAACAATCTAAGTTATTTTCTTATTTCTTGAATTAACCTAAAGTATTTTATATAATTAGAATTAGTTTTACATGTCGAAAGTTAATTTGCATGACTAAAATCTATTTTGTACAATAAAACTTAACAAACCTCATTTTGTAAATTCATATATTTAATAAACTTATCTATTTTATATATTTGTAAACTTTATAAACTTTCTATATTTTTTCTTAAAGTTATAGTATGTTAATATATATTGGGGAATATACAAAAAATTTTTTTGAAAATAATTGGTATGAAAAAAAAAGCACTTTTTTGCTATATATACTCAAGTTTTATTGATTATATACAATATACGCTATATATATATTGTACTATTTGATTGACAATTAAATATATATATGTACCATTAAAATACTCATATAAGTAACCGGAAACATTTTATGGGGGAGGGTATTTTAGACTGTGCTATATAGTAATATGCCGAGTAGCAGCAATTGAAAAGAATTCAACAATATTTTTATTATTAAATTTAATTAAATTCAGCAATAATTCAGCTATCAAATGACATAATTTTGACTAGTGATAGTAATAAGCCACTTGATGAGCCTGGGTTCAATGGGTTTAGGACTTGAGAGTATCATGATATATTAGATCTAGATACTGTATTTAAATTTTGGTGTCTAGTTAGTTTGTTGTAGTAAAGAGAAATACCTAGACTAGTTACTCTATCCTGGTGAAGTGAGATGTAAATAGTTGACTCTATGACTATTTGTTGATCTGTAAAGTACGGGTAATTATTCATCCTGGTTGTCCTTAGATATGATATTTATTATAATAAAATGTTGCCATGACGCATAGCGTCTAATATATATATATATATATATATATATATATTCAAATAATAAACAATTAAAATACTGAGTCAATAATCAATAAGTAAAAAGAAATCACTTGCTCTAAAAACAACGTTTAGTTTTCACATATGGGTAATTATTTTCGAAGGTGGAAGGGATTTTTTTGGCACTATAATTGTGATCCTACAATTTACATTGTGTACGCATTGTTCAAAAGTAGGGGTCGAAAAAAATCATATCTAGCATTTTTGTTGCCTTCAAAAATATACTGTACATAATAAAGAATAAATATTCTTAACTCTTAAAATGATGGTCATTCGATATAATTTTAATTTTAAACTTTGAATATAGTTTTGAAATATTGAAACCACTCTATTTAATATTACGGTTTGTGTATAAAATGAGTTAAACGATTAACGAGTAATGTTCTTTTTTTACGAGATTAAAAACTTCGTAATCATCGACTGCGAAATTGGTATTCTTGGTTATTTGAAATTCATAGCATGATTTTTTACACGTCCAAGGGAGATAATATAGAAATTGACCTAGTTTATGGGAGAAAGAAGAAACCATCACTAAATCTGAAACTCCGAAACAAGGTCCAATTGAAGGTGAATCGTCGATTGCACATTTAGTATTTAGTATCCTGCTCAATACAGCTTGCCCAAGCTCTGGGTCTAATCCATCGCCTAGAGAGAATATAAAACTTTCAGTGGTCTCAATCCAAAGTCCCGACGAACTCCACCCAACCGGATTGAAACCTCCAATTAACTCTCCGGTGTCTCTGACCTTGGCCACTACCAGGGTAGGACCTTGATTATCGCAAAGTTCATGAAATACATCCTCTTTAAAACTGTCTCGTGTGCCTCGAAGTAGAAGGTTGAAATGGTAAGGTACTATTTGACAAGCGCCACTAAATTTTTCCCGACGATCTATCCAATTTGCTATTAGTGCCGCGTGACGTGACCCAATAAGGTTAGAATCAAGAGCGATACCTCGCGGTGGCATTAATGAAGAAATCAGAAAAGTATCTTTGGTAAGTTGGCAGCGTAATATTTCCTCATACACATCCTTTGGTAATGCTTCCTTGTATGGCAGGACATGGTGAAAAAAATCGGCACCAGAAATGTGGTAAAATCGAATATGCTCAATACATTTCTTTAATTTTTCGGATAATCTCGAGAATTCTTCAGTACTCCATTGACTCACATTCTGAAGTGATAAATTGGCTTGTGATGAGCCCCATTTCAGTACCACATTCCAGACATCAACTTCTTCAAGCTGAAGGTCATCACACTTTAGCATCTCCAACAATAGTTTTTCTGGCCATTGCGTAAAATGATGTCGGTGTCTCCTATGAGGGTCATGAGAAATTATTCTTACACAACATTGTTGAAGTAATTCAAAATTGTCACGTTCGAAGATGGTAAGAAAGACACTATAAAAATTATCGCGCAACCAATCTATTCCATTCGTCACGAAGTGACTCTGGACATAATTAAGCAACTGTCTCAAGCATAATTCGTCTGCAGCCACCAAAAGTTCTATCATACGGGACCAACCAATGTCTTCTAGGCTTACCGTTCCGCTATATATATACCTTTTAAATTAATATAAAAAAAAATAGATTAGAAGCCAGATAAAAAATAAGTTGATAAAGTAATTATAAATTACTTGAGAATGATGTCAAATATTTCGGGAAGGACGTTGGGTTTTTTTAAAACGTAAAAGTTTCCTTCTCTCTCTACCCATTGATCAGCCAAGGAACTTTTGAAATAACTTGATCTGGCCCGGAGGACAACGGAATGTGCTTTAAATTCTTTGTAATTCTTTGGTTGTTCCCCAACTCTTATTAATACGTTGAAATCTTCAGCAGATTCCAGTAATTGTGTAAAATCCGTGGATAGTAGTATTAACAGTTCGGCTGACATTTTGCGTTTCAGATGAGGGCGAAAAATAAAGTCCAATTTCATAGCCTCACTCAAAACATTATTGATTAAATACCTGTACTTAGGTCACGTTAATAACATCGAATAAAAATTTATGCACATACTAACGTATACAGTATACATACAATGATGATGATTTCTGGGATATTGTGAGAATCTTTGAATTTCTGATGATTCATGATATTTACATTGTGCACTCTTCTTCAATGCTATGCATCTAATTAGTAAAAGGTATTGCATTGATAAAACTTCCGGTAATGTTTATTACGCGATATGACAGCAGCATTTTGTCACACGATGATTGCCAAAAACCTGGTATAATATCATTACTCGCATACTCCTTAGTAATCATAAATACTTTTTATACGCATATACTGTACGTATCCGATATACTGTATATATTGAATGGATGTGAATGCATAAACAAATATCAAATAATATTTCGCATACGTTTCGCATTAATGAAAGTCATGTACATATTCGCTTAGAAGAAAAAATATAATTTGCCTTAGTCAGCAAAATTGGTAGTATATCAGATAAGAAGTATTATCCATGTACTATATCAATGATAGTTTTCGGGGTAACAATTCTGGAGTCCTGTCCGCGTTTAAAAAGAATTGTAAAGTTAAATATTATTTCATAACATTTTAAATGACTAAATAAAGAACCTTATAAAGCAATGTCGAGGTGAACAGTAACCCCGGGTATATTTTTATGGTACGTATTATTATCGTTATATGCAACATTAAAAAGCCAGGCAAATATTCTACGGAGGGATTTTATCCACCACGACTCATAGAAATTTAGATAAATAAGGGTATCGTGTTTGAAGGAACACAGTGGTTTGTGATGGTATGGAAGAAATTCTTAGTGATTTGACTTCTGATAGCGCGACATAAATAGTAATTGAAAATTGAAAATTTGCGTTTTGAAGAATTTAATGAA